GGTTCAGACACAGCAGAGCCTGCAATTTCTTAAACGCAACAGGACCTGTTCATGAGGCTGAATTTTTCAAGCATCCAAGTGCCCTTGATTCACACTGGGAGTTCAGGGTGCCTATGACTGAGGCCGCTATAAACATGTTATAATGTCATTAATGTCTCAAACGCCTTGAGAATATTTCAGGAGCCAAGACTGAACCTCTGCAGAAAAAGAAATGCTTCCATCACATGCACAGCTATAGGCCTCCTGCTCTTGTCAGGTGGTGTAGAACCAGAAAGACCAGCTTGCGTGAAATTGCACAGCAATTTCAGGAAAAGAATGGGACTCTGGCTCCCCATGGCAGAACTGGCCACACTGAAGCAGAGCGGGTAAACTGTTCCTCAGAACTGGGGACTGCGAGTGGTTTTACACTGACACTAATCCAGGAAAGGAGGTGGCAGTGTGCATTCCTTATGTGCAGGGTTGGACCCTTAGTACAGCTTTGTTAACTTTAATGCCTTTGTAAATACTGGGACTACAGATAATCCTTTGCATTTTTCTTGAAGGGTTCAAATGCCTAATTCCCACAGATTATAACCGTCTCACTTCACTCTACTCTCAGTGAACAAACCTGGAAATGACTGTAACACAGCAGAACTGGCAGGGTATCTCCCCTTTTATCATTCCTTCTCGTTCTAGCAGAGACTCACAACCACGGATTAGAGGTTGAAGAGAAAAGCACCTTTAACGGTAAGAAACTGACCAAGTTACTGCATGCTCTAGTGTTGGTGTGAGTCAATCAAGAACTTAGAGTGGATCAAACCGCACATCTAATTGAACAGAGCTCTGCAAGTGAACCATGTCGGGTGTGACAGAAAAAGGCAGGAAATGGCAAGCAAAGATACAGTTGCCATTGGCTAAGAGGATACAACAGTTTCCTCTAACACTGGTTCTGCCTTTGTTGTGCAGGCCAGAAGACAAAGTCTGTGCTCTTGCGTCCTCCCTCTCCAGAAGAGGATCGAGCACAGCACCAAGCTTTGGAGTGTATCTATATAGTATTGGTGAAGTTAGAAAATTTCACCGTGAGTTACTGCACAATAAACCTACCTCTTCATTTGTACCTGAGGGGAGACGCTGTTCCGTTTTTACAGCAACATATTTAATATGTAAAAAATAGGAGTTCATTAAAAAGAAATGTATTTCTTGCTAGGAAGTCTTTGGCTTAAATGCCCATTTTCAAACAGTATATGTGAAAATGCTCAAGTCCTGCAGTGGGTCACTTATTAAAAATTTGATTTGAAGATCAGCCTACAAGTCATAAACAGTCTCATAAAGATGTAACTATCGTAATAACTTCCCTTTTCCCAGCTGAAAATACAAGATGAACTGTTCTGAAGCACCTAATGTATGACTAATGTTTATTTGTTTTACAAGAAGCTTTACAGCTGCAATGTTCCAAGAATGCTTAAATTCAATAAACAGCTATTATAATTCACTGAATGGTGACATTTCCTCTATAAGAAAACATAACCTATCCATTCTGATTTTTCAGAGTCAGTAAAAAAAACTTTCAGGTATGTTACCCCAAAGTGAGATTTAAACAGGTCCTGCCTCCCTGGTTGTATAAACTGTACATCCACATTCTGGTATTCTAAGTTGATGAGGCAATGCTCCATACAAATTATTTTGATGCGTATTTTTACTTATGTTACAATTGATGTTATTTGGCATGTCATACCATATTACAACTCATGAGGCAGAGGATTTAATGCATGTGATGGTCCCTCTGAGCAGATCTGAAATTGGTATATATAAACTACACTATTTTACTACTGTATGACATTCCCCAAATGTATCCACATAAGTTCTCACCTGTCTTTCCCAGTTTCCCGTTTAAAAAGGTCATCAAATTGAAGCATCTTGTGGCGAGAAATCATATATACTTTTAACTGAGGCAGTATCTGATTCATCAGCTGCAGGTTGTTATACACCAAGCCTTTACCATCTCTCCTCATGTAGCTGCTAGGACCCCAGAAGATAAACACAGCACCGTGGCTCATATTTAAGAGTTCATTACGATTTCGCAAAATCCTCTGAATACTGGAGTGTGCAATGACTCGAAGGCTCGTTTTGTTTCCAACATCTTTTCCATAACCTCGAGTAGGTGCATCATTCATTCGTATTACGCATTCCGTCTCGTCGATTCTGTCACCTTGTTTACTTCCCAGAAGGTGTCCAGAGCTGGTTACCAATGCACAACTCTTGCAGTGCATTTTTAAAGGCTGCAAAGACATACATACTTCAAATTAGCTGTAAACATCTTCCCATTCACCACTTGATAACTATATTTTACATGTACATGACATTTTTTACAGCAAAAATCTCCGAGGACTTTACATAAATCTCTCCCAGCAGTCTTCCTAAGTCACTGGGGACACATTGCTTGTCCTTTTTGTAGATGGGGAAAATGTGGGATAGGTGTAGAGCCCTTAAAGTTCCTCTGTGGAGCTAAGTCTACTGTTTAAATCCTCCTGTCCACTGCTGCTTCATATGCAGTAATCACCACAGCTTCTATACTGTTCCCAGCTGCTTAGGACTGTACTTCTTCCACTTGCCATAAATGAGCTATAATTGGAGTATTTTTGATGCATCCTCTTCCAATCTTTTGCAGGAAATAATCAATCATAAATCCTCATAAGCACAACTGCGACTAGCTTGTCAACCCCTGGGGTCAGGACATTTTGCTAAAGGAAGCAGCCTAAACCCATCTTTGACAAGGTCCTCAGCACCTCAAGATCGAACCCTGTGGCTTTCCATGGCAGCTCATTGTTCACGCCATTGCAAACATAACTAGCGTTTCTCCAGGTGTAAACTTGGTGGGTTTATTAGCAATGATGAGATGTTATGGTGACATATAATTACACTTAGTATCAACCGCATGTATATAGGAATCAAATGACTAAATCAGTGTGCTGTGAGGCACAGCTTAAAACTCTAAAGCTGAAAAAAAGACATAACCCAAGTTTGAGATAATCCCGTTTGAAGATGCTTTGGCCCCTAGCATTTGAAAGGGGGTGTTTTATTTAAGTAACTTGTTTTTTAGTTCTGAAGGTAGTAAGTGTTTGGAGTCTGAGCTTGTTTTCTATGAGAATAGCTAATGAATGACGAAATGCTTTTTAATTAAAGACAAAATAACTACACTATACAATTTGTGTAATGATACAACCAGTAAGCTTTGTATGACCATCATGACCAAACAACAAAGTCCTTTTTCTGTCGCATACATGGATTGTAAACCAGAGCTAATGATATGGGTAGAACTGTTCATGCCTTTGTGAGCCAAGGTTCCTAATGCAGTATTTACATGCATTCTCCTTTAAGCTTTCATCTGCCACTTCTTTGATGAATTACCTAGCAAAAGGCTCTAAGGTGAACTAGCTGCTCCATCATCATGCTTGGGAAAGCAAGATGAAGTGCTAATGAGGTTAAAGGAAATGTAGTCAGCGCCAATGTTAACTCACATAGGTTTGCATATCCACATAGCAAGACATTTTCACCTAAACCATCTCTGCTGTTTTCTGGCCTACTGAGCTACAACTTACTTGTTTCTTTTAAAAGTCTGCCAGAGAAATTGTTAGGAAACAAGGGCAACCATCAGTAGAGCTGTGGAAACTTGGGGGGGGGGCTGGTAAGGGAGGGGACATCAACATTTGCTAGATGATAAACATTAACACCCCTCTAAGTATCTGTCCCAGACCTTGTTTGAAAACTGTTCCTTCTGGGAAAAACTCTTTAGACTGAAATAGTCAGGTATTGCCCAGCTACCTCTTGAGTGATGCATGGAGACTGAGCCCGCATAGCTGCTCCGGGCAAGTAATTTTCACTCATCTCAGATTCTTTCAGTCGAAATCTACAGAACTCGGCACCTAAAAATTGTCGGAGGAAGTCACAGCCAACAGCCACAACATTCTCATAGCAGCTGTTTATAATGCTTTGACAATATTGAAAGCGGGAGTGGGGGGGGTGGGGGGAGCTGTTGGCTGCAATATCATCTCACTGGGAGGCAGCGGTTGTACCACAAATGTCATCTACTTAAGCAATAACAATGGAGGCACAAGGCAGTTCTTTGGGATTGATGACCAGCTGGGAAAAGTTGATGGCCTGAGAATAACCAGGGGCCATTAAGCCAGAAGAACATTAACTCCACACAAAGCTCTCTGTTACAGTAATTATTACAGTGATATTTGTTTAAAAAAAAAGCAAACCCATGACATACGAGTTATACTTCAGGTAGGCAATGCAACCCTCACTTCATGAACCCTGCTTCAAAATGCCCAGAAATGGGGTAGGGTGAGAGGTAGGTGAGTTTTATGACATCTGTATTAATTATCTTGTAATGCAACATATCATGCATGCAAAAGGTGCTGACATTTGATGGTACCCATTGTCAATAAGCAGCCACCGTTTCATGTGTGCCTGAGCTAAATGTATAGCACCTTGCACAACATGGCAGAGCATGTGGCTACTTCTACAACACAAATCAGTCATATCAACACTCAGGGCACTTAGTGAACAAGTCAAGTATCAACCAAATAAATCGCCTGAATTACAGCTCAGTTCCAGTCACCTAAAAATACATATGGGGAGAGGGAGAAAAGAGGTTACAAGACAGCAAGCTCAGAGTGCTAGAACCCCAGACGGCAGCAAAATCAACTGGTGCTTTGCCAGGATAGATGGGCTGTCCCAAGGGAATGAAGGAGCGGGTGAACCCTGCTGCATTCTGGTAAACCCCATAACAGCACCTTAGTGGCCACACCACGTGAGTGAACCTTGCTCTGCTGGAAGTGTCACGGGCCAAACTGACTCCTGGCAACTTTCACTACATCGATTATAGCCCAGTAAGTACTGTTGCTATATCCTGTACATCTGACTTGTTTAATACCAACCAAGAGACAAACAGAAACAAAAAACAATGCCATGGTTGTTCCTGTATTTTCCAATTTGAGGCAATTTGCTCTGTAATTGACTTTAAAATCTATGTTGTCCAATGATAGAAAAATGTTATTTTCAGACACTTTATTGCTCAAAAAAAAAAATCAATGGAAAAATGTTATTCCTGATTCAAAATATGTTACTCGTAGATATAATTATTTTCTTTGTGATGAAATCAATTTTTTCTCATAGAAGTCTTTTGATTTTAAAGCCAAGATTTAATAAACAAGACAATTCCCTCCAGTAAAATCAGGAACAGTGGAAAACACACTTTATCTTATACTGAATACTTAATGACCTACTTTCAAGGGTACTACGTTCAGATCACTCCATTATCAGTAGTATAAAAGTTTCCCTTCCATAAATAAAAAATAGAGTATTTTATCTTGGCCACGATGACCTGGCCAGGAAAAAAAAAAATCTTCTGGAGTGAAGAGCAGCTCATTACTGAGATGAGCAGAAAAAGACCACCTGTCAGTTCATGAACACCAGCATTCCTCATAGATACATGTAGAAATATTACAGATGACTTCAAAGTGTTTGGGGAGAGAGGAAGAGACCAAGAAAGGTTAAAGAATATCCAAATTCCTTTTGGATGAATGACCTTTAAGTAAGCATTTGAGACTGGAAGTGCAAAATATCAGTAAGGTACTTGACAGCGAAGTTTTTCTCTTGCACTGCAGCACCTCTACGGCATTTTGTTAGCTAGCAGCAGCGTGCTTGTCCTCTGTCTGATCTGGAATGAAAAGCTGTAGGGCTTCTTCACTCTGTATTAACTACCTGAAGTGTGTTACTGAACCAACAATCTCCTCTGCAAGAACTCCCAAACTGACCACTAAAGTAAAAGCAGTGGTAGAAATAAGAAGACTGATGTACAGAAAAGCAAAACTGCTTCCATTTTCAATTGAATTAATTCAGTATAGGGCTATATTGATGGTTGAAAAAGCACACATAAACAGTGCAAGAGACAGTCGTACTGGGTCAGGAGAAAGTAAGCTTATTCCAGAGTAGTCTAGCTTTTTCTTTTTTGTTATAATGCAGATAATTTAATTGGTAGGAATTTCATGTTTCCCCTACCTTGTGCCCATTGTGCCCAGCCTAAGCCCAACAGCTAGCTTGTGACACTCACTGTATGTTACCTCAGTATTTGCATTTTATGTTCCTTTGTGCACAGAATTTAATCAGCATTTCATACGCTGATGTTAATGAACCCTGTGTTTACCCCATGTTCAATGTAATTTATTTCTTATGGCTTGTTCTTGATTGGTGGGTCATCAGCCACTGGCAACAATACTAATTAATGCATTGCCAGCAATACCATATTTTGTCCTGACAGCTTCGGTTCTAACTTTTTACTTTGTTGTAGCTTTGAGGTTTCTCACAAGCTGCTGGCTTGGGACCACTGGACCACTAGGCTGGTTGCTCCTTCCCAGTTCTCCTCTCCCAGAGGCTTTAAGGACAACCCCACTGTCATGACGGGCACCCCTAGCTCCGCAGGAGCTCCAGGCATCCCCAGCCCATTGCTGGCATGTCACAAAAATGGCTGCTCCAGCTCCTGTGAGCCCCTGTCACTCAGCACTGTTTCACATACATATAAAGCTTCTCTTGCCACTACATCTGTCCCTCATGAACAAGCTATACTTATTATTTCTATCGGTGTGCCTCTTTCCTTAATATTTTCCCTAGAAGACTGATGACTGTAAGGCCAAATCTGCTTTTCTTTGAGAAATTCCCAGCAATCACCTTAAAGTAGAATAGAAACCCTGAAGCTTCACTTTTGCGAAGTGTAAGGCAATGCAAGCAAGCTGTGGGGCTCAAGCTGCCTCATTAGTGAAGTACAGCTGTGCACTTCAGAAGTGATTTCCACAATGCAAGTACTCTGGGAGACATGATCCTGTGAAAATAATGCAAGTGCCCTGATAATTTTTGCTTTGTAATATATTGATGTTGGAACAGTGCTTTCATAATAATATGAAAAGAACCAAAAATGAAAAAACATACAAGCATAAAAAGCATTGCTTTGGTATTTTTCAAGTCCCATCTACCTGACATGCTATGAAATCACGCTGTCAAACTAGTCTTCTCTGGACAGTAAAAATCATTCAGATGCATACTGGGATATTTTAGGGAACACTTCTGTGTATAAAAAGCTAGAACAAAAAAGCACACTTAAAGCATGAAGAGAGTTTTGAACTTCAACCAACATCAACTTGCTATGGTACACGCCCTTGTCAAGTCTCTGGGAGTTTTGATCTTTGTGGTGCCAAGTTCTGATCTAAGAGATGATTTTGGTTTGACCATGACATTTTCACATGTATGTTTGGATAGGGAGTGTAGCTTAATTTCTACACTCTGCATGCCAGCTCAGACTTTCCCCTCAAGTTCCATCAATTTACATTCTTTAACCCTTATGCTAGCAGGTACAGAGCTCTTAAAGAAGGGGGAAAAATCCTCTGAACAAATACATTTATAATTTTTGTTGAACTAGACTTTTGGAACATTAGCGAATCTGCCATGAAAACAAACTGCATTATCCACTGAACTAAAAGTACTGATTGCCTTCAAAACTGTAACCCAGTAACTGATATCACGCAAGTAAACAGAAAGGGTTAGGAGATACCACTTGCCCAACATTGTTAATCCTTATGCAAATGCAAATAACAAGCCTTTGCAGCAAAACTTTGCAATTCAAAAAAGGTCTGGCAAGTCTGTTTATAAAGATAAATGCATGTCTGTTTGAAAAGATAAAAGATAAAACAAATTATTTTCTTATTACTTCTCTTTGTTTCTTGGGCTGTGGAGCTTGAATATGCAAATGTTGTGGAAACATTAGCATCTTCATTTCCCATTGATTCTTTGGAGTTAATTATATAACTGGACTATGCCTTCACATATTTGATAAGCAGAAACAGTGAAATAGCCAAACTTCAGCAAATGCATTCATCACACTAGTGATCACAGATCACAGAACCCTAGGTTTTATTCCTCCAAGGAACAGAATGTTTTTGTTTTCCATGACACTATACTGATGGGGATCTGCAAAACCTGTAGTAAAAATACGTAATTCTATTTTCAAAAGGTCCTCGGACATATCTAATTCAATTTCAAAACATGAGGCTATATTATGAAAAGAAAAATAGAAAAACAAATGCACTCCATAAAGCTTTCACTGGGATAATTTTCTTTAGAAAAAGTACCGTTAAGCACATTAGTCAATGAAGAGTCTTCTGCTTGTGTGAAGTGTTTTCCGGCACATTAACTCTTTTTCAGGGGGCTGCCTGCTAGTCAAAGCTTCCATTAGATTAATTAAAATATGGCTCCTCTCACTGGAAAGAAAAGGCATGAGTTTGGTTACAGGACATTGACCACCTACAGAAACCGAGCCCTTTCTAGTTAAATAAAATACAAGCAGAAGCAGCACAGAAGACTGAACAACAAGATAACTTTTAGTATCTGGAGTGCATTTCTCTTCTTATTTGGAAGCATGATTACCAGGTGCTGATGTTTTCCCCTAAGCTGCCTGAAGTGAATATAAGGTGCAACCTTGCAAATTGTCAGCACATATAAAGCTAAGATTTAGAGAGTAGTTTCTATCCTGCATCCTATAAATGTGTCCCATGAGGAAGATTAGTATCAATCATAGGCTTATTGGAGAGGGAGATAGGATACAATGATAACCTGAAGCTATCAACTAGAGTAATGGTCTAAGAAGAAAAAGCAATCAGAGAAAGAAAAGAATATCCTCAATGAAAGACAGAACTGGAAAATCAGGCAGGAATGTATCATGTTGATGAACTTGAGCTGTTATACAAGAGAGAGAATCATACGAACAATATACAGGCTCTAAAGAAATGGTTATTGCCTAATGTTTATCTTAAAAGAAGTGCAAATAGACATCCATATTACATCAAACTGCTTTACTTTTGTTCTGCAG